AACATTCATATCCATAAAATGATTAAATTCGTAGTGAAAAGTGATTGATATTCTATTTAATTCATGACTATAGCAAGCTGCAAATTCACAAAATTTTTCTACTAAACGATTAGTTCTATATATTCTATAGAACCCTGCACATATATTGATATGGAAATTTTTGGATAGTCTAAAAATTGGAGTGAGTTATAGAAAATTTTAGAATGTAATAGTAGTTGGGAGGGATGTTTTTGTTTTTTTTTTTATTATTGATTGTCAGCAAAAAATGAAAATGTCAGAGATAGGAATTTTAAAAAAGTCAAAGGAGAATATTGAATGTTAATGTTAAGTTATAGATGAAAGGATTATTGTTATTTTGAGTTGTACTGATGATATATAAAATGAAGAAAGAAAGTTGAAAAGAAGGTAAATAAATTTGATTTATAAAATCAGAAAGCAGAGGGAAATAAAATAGAAAGCATAGATAAGCAGAGACGGTAGAGAATAACACACAACTGAAGATAACCATACAAATAGAGAAAAGTGACAGATAGACACGGCAGAGACGATAGAGATAGACAGAGCTGAACTATGAGCAAGAAGAAGAAAGAAAACAAGAAAGAATAAATGTTTTTTTAATTTTTATTATTAATCATTATACAATATTTTAGATTTTGAACCCAACCCGAAATTAAGATTATTATTGGTTGCAAATCAGAGACAACAAAAAGAGATTTCCATATTAATTCAAAATTTGGTATGAATTTTATATTTTTTATTGTTTAATTAAACTATTATTTGGAGTTAGGAAGTGTTATATATGATCAGTAAAAGAGTAAAAGTGTATAGTGTGTGTCTGTTATTTAAGTATTCAGGGTGAAATTTCAAAATTGAGCTTGGACTATTATAATATACCATCATAATTAATAGAATACAGATAGAATAACAATAGTGAGATTTTCTTGTTTTGATGACAGTGACATAGTGTAAATATTGTATGTATGTGAATTTGTAATAGTAGAACTAGTAAAAATAAAACAGAGTAAATGGATTTAAGAGGGGGAAAGATAGTTGGGAGAACATGAGGAAATAATAGGGCAAGGAGATAAGGATGTACAGGATGAAAATATTTTAGATGACACAGTTATAGAAGAAAATCAGCAGAAAGAGGAAATAAAGATGAAGGACTTAATGCAACCGATCATAAAATTGTATGAAAATAAGAAAGAAGAAATAATTAAGAAAATGAAGGAATCGGAAAAGAAGATAAGGGAACAGATTAAACAAAATGAGAAAGCAATAAGTAACAAGATGAATAATATAAAATAAGAAATTCAAGAATTTATACGGGACAATATACATTTAATTGGAAAAATGGATGAAGTTTTAGATAATCACAGGAAAGAAGTTGAAAATAAAAAGTTGGAAAAAAGAATAGAAATGAATAAAGAAGAAATAGAACAGATAGAAATTGAAGAAAAATAAGTAAATGAAGAAATATAGAGTAAAAATATAGAAAAAGATGGAAACAAGAATAAAGATAATAAAAGAAAAATAAAAATTAAAGAATTAAAGAAGAAATTGAAAATAGAAATTAAATTACAGAGAAAATTAAAAGACAAGATTAAATAAAAAACAAAACATGGGATTAGAAAAAAGAAACATTACAAGTAAAAATAAATCTAGGGTAAGAGTAAAAGAGATACAGGGAGATATAAGAAACAATAGAATAGTAAGTAAATATAAAAGTTATGGTAAAATAAAATCATTTAAAAATATAAAATGGGAATAAAGTTAAAACAGATGCGAAGCGAAAATGAAAAGAAGGTAGGTAAGGAAGGTAGGTAAGGATGAATGTTTGAAAATAATAAAGAATCGGGGGTTAATAGAAAAAAAGGGAGTGAAGACAAAGGTGGATAAAAATTAATCAAATTTAGATGGGGGATGGAGATCTGGACATTGAAATTAGCTTGAGAACACAAGTCGAATAGATACATGTATTACAATAGAGTTAAATAATATGGTTACAAGGGTAAGACAGAGTGAATGAGTCAGAAAGTAAAGATTTTGTGCATATAAGAAGAGAACTATACAAAAAAATGTATAAATATAAATAAATAGGGTAGAAAGATACATTTAGGAAGTAAATAAGTTTTTTAGAATATTAATAAAAAAAGATCATACAAGATGGGAAAATCACAATAAAAAAGTACAAATGTTATTAAATAATATTCCAAGCCCAATTACAGGAGAAAATCCAATATATGTGATGAAAGATCGGAATCCATAGAGGAAATGGGTATTTAAAAATGAACAGAAGCATGAGGATATGATAGAAAGAAAAAAAAAACGCAAAGAAATATATTAAAAAAATTAGTAATAAGAGAAAGAAAATAATTAAATTTAAAAAAGATTTAGTCATAGTTAGGGCTTTAAAAGTGATAAAAAATCAATAAAAAATAAAGAATCAATTTTTTTTAATTTTTATTATTAATGAAAATACAATATTTTAGATCTTTTGAACACACTACAAAATTAAGATTATTATTGGTTGGAAATCAAAGATAACAAAAGGAGGTTTCCATATCAAGCGGCACCCATCGTTAGGTCTAAAAAAACTTTATAAATTTCTTCACAAATGTAAAACCATAATAATATATCTATTTCGTGAAGAAATTCATTGATTTTTTATAATATTTTTGGATTTTGTAAAAAATGATAAAATCTTTGAACAAATTTATATTTTATGACATTCCTCGTATATGATTGATAAATAATATTAATGTCTGAACCTTTAATTATTTGTTTTAGACCATGCAGGACATTTTGGAAAACATAAATTTTTTAGTAAAACTAATAATTAAAATGTAGAAGACAGTACATTTATACACCAAAAACAATAGCTATTTGTGTATTAAGAGCGGAAAGTGCTACTTTGCTGCTTAAGATAAAAACGGAGTGCGGCATTTTATCGTAAGCGGCAAATAGCTTTTCGCTCGAATTACACACAAGATTTTTTCTACGATCACACAATATTAAAAGTATATAGTTTTATTTTGCCGAATTCAAATCTTACTACGTTAATTTGACAGACACGACTAACTTAACTAGAAACGAAAAGTATGTTATGTGTTTATTATGTTGCCTGCTTACTTAAAGGTTATGATTTATGATTAGCATAAAAAATATTTGTTAGTAAGTACATCTAAAAAATAACTTCCAAGATCGGTTAGAATATTCTTAATTGATGGCTCATTCACTGTTTTAAAAGTTTTAATTTTACAAATAAAAAAATCAATTTAAAATAAAAAAAAATTAACTGGTGAAGATTGAACTCACGACCTTTAGGTTGAAAGACCAACAATCAACTCTCTACACCAACAAGATATGTTAAATATGAGTGTTAAAAACAGGGCAAATTTTTTTTAATATTTTAATTATCATTTAAATATTAAGAAGAATGAGTTTGAGTATAAACATTTTTCTACGATCACTACCCAAAGGAGGATTTTGCACATTCAAATCTAACTGGAAAGTTGACGTTTTTCATGAATTATCATAGTTTGACATTATTGCCGCATAAAGGCGAAAAGTTATTTTTGCACATGCCTATTTTCATTAAAATGGTTGTTATTATAAAGCTAATCGGTATTTTAAAAGAAAATGTAGATTAATCTGAATCTTTTAGCTGAACATTTAATACTCAAACTCATTTTCCTTAATATTGAAATGATAATTAAATTATTAAAAATAAATTACCCTGTTTTCAACACTCATATTTAACATGTCTTGTTGATGTAGAGCCTAGCGCGTTTTTCTTTGAACCTGATGGTCGTGAGTTCAATCCTCACTAGTTATTATTTATTTTTTTATTTGATTTTTTGTTTGTAAAATTAAATAAAACCTAAAACAGTGTATGAGCCATTAATTTGCGATTTGAGTATTCTAACTGATGGTCTTGTAAGTTATTTTTAAGATGTACTTAATAACAAATATTTTTTATGCGAATCAAAAAATTAATCCTAGAGTAAGCAGGCAACACAATATACACAATATACTTTTTGTTTGTTAGTCAAGTTAGTCGTGTCTGTCAAATTAACGTAGTAAGATTTAAATTCGGCAAAATAAAACTATATACTTTTAATATCGTGTGGTCGTAGAAAAAATATTGTGTGTAATTCAAGCGGAACACTATTTGCCGCTTTCGATAAAATGCCATGACAACTTTTTATCTTGAGCGGTAAAGTAGCACTTTCCGCTCTTGATACACAAATAGCTATTATTTTAATTTAATTTCTATAGTTTTATTTTACAAACGTTTTCTAATAGCTATAAGTATTTACTTCTGCATATTCTGTTCCAGGTGGCATTATTTCATTACAATGCGACTAAAAACTTTATTGATTCAGTTTTAAACAATCTTATTGAAATATTGTATTAAATAAATCTTACATATTCAATGTCAATGTCTTAATATGCTGCATTGACCTTTTCGTAATTGGATATAGAAACTCCGTTTATATTATTGAGCATAAAACCTTTCCAATCGAAGAGTAAAATTTTTAAAATTAAAATTATATGTTTAAAAATAATTTACCACGCAAATATGTTTATTTAATTTAATCAAATTGTTGCAATAATATACCTGTGTACAAGTTTAAAAAATTACTCTATTGAAACTAACCAGTTCCTATTTAAGAAAATCATATTTAAAACAAACTAAACAGCTAATTATAATGTTTGCAGAAACTGCTACAAATTTAGTCTGCTCGTTTCCTAATATTTAACCAATTTAGGAAGTTTTTGGCCTGATCACGCGGTGGACACTTAATGACTATAAGTTGGACCTATAACATTCATATGGAAAATTAAGACGGTACCTGTTGAATCTTCAAAGTATTAAAAACTTTGTATCTCCTAGGATAGATTTATAGCATTAAAATATTGTATATACCAATACATTTAAAACCTAATTATATTTTGTCATTATATATTTTGATGATATATTTTTTAATTTCAGAATGTCATTCAGCACTAAGTATAGCGACCTCTCCTACGAAGACAGCTGTGATTCCGGTTTCGAATATTCTTTCAAATCCGAATCTTCGGACATAACAGACGATCGCAGCGACTATTTCGATCTCGACCACGATGCGTCACCCGTCAAAAGAAAACAATTAGAACATTTTAACCAGGAGCTATATGAAAAATTTAATACTGCGTTTCATACTAGTCTAATCGAGAGGGTGAAACGTCCAATTCACTACGAATCTTGGGACCAACCACTTCATTGTAAAAGAAACCTCTTCGAAAACAACAACGAAGAACTAGAATTTTTCTATCCACTGGAAAATGACAAAAGCAAATGTTCAACCCCGGTTAAAGAAAAACCTAAAAGAAAATACGCCACGGGTCGTAACCGGGTATCCAGAGCGAAAAGTCCTACGCAGATTATGAGGATCAAAAGAGTGAGAAGGATGAAAGCAAACGATAGAGAACGAAATAGAATGCACATGCTAAACGAAGCCTTAGAACGCCTGCGATTAGTTTTACCCACATTTCCTGAAGATACCAAGTTGACGAAGATAGAAACTTTGCGTTTTGCTCATAATTATATTTACGCTTTATCGCAAGCGGCTAACGATTTAGATTCGTTTTCAAATTCGGGAGATTGTATAACGGTTAACGTTGGAAATATGATTGTTTCTATTAGTAAGAACGGGAACACTATAACAACTAAAAATATTGAGCAGAAAGTTGGAAATGCTGTAGTTACAAGTGGAACTATTACCAATGCTAGTTTTATGCAAGATTATGCTGATGGTTCTCCAGCAGGTAGTAATGATTACCAAGGGTTTGGTTATTGTAATGCGCTTGAACCTTATTCTAGTAATAGTTATGAGCAATATACAAATGGTGCAAATTTTGAACAGTATGGATACCCAGTAGGTTATGACTATGCTAATTGCTTGAAAGGTTAGAATATGCAACCCTGTTGTGAATTACATATCATATTTTATTAAAGATAAAACGTAATTTTACCTCATCATATAATCTATCTTTTAATAACGTTTATCATTATTTGCTACTAGATCCCAAATTACGATTAAGAAATTATTTAATTATCCTTTAAATAAAGAAAAATGTTTACATATTTTTAGTTATAAAGGATATCCATCACACATTCAATGGGTTTTCTACAGTGGCAGAATTTTAATATGCTCTTGAGGCAGTTTTATTCCATTACATAATTCTTTTACTTATACAGGGTAATGCCGAAAATTCAATTTAAAGTACTACAAGCAAATAAATTACAATATAAAAAAAATATCATATCTAAATCATTTTGAGGTCTATTTTGTTCCATTGCACCAACTTTCTAACTATATAAGGTGATACCGAAAATTCATACGAGGAAATAAATAAAAATTTTAAAAAAATACGATGTTTGCATCTAAAACATTGTATATTTAACCTACACTGAGAGAAAAGCTTGGCAGAAATTTTAATTTTTTTTACTAGACCAGTTAAAAGGGTCTCAGGAACTTCATGCTACTATTATAGTTAAAAATAAATATCAGAAACTGTGCGACTGCTACGTTTACATTTTTTTACTGGAATTTTTATTTCTGGAACAATTAAGCAATTTTTATGAAGAGCTCAAATATTCAGTCATTCATCCAAGTGACAATTAAAATGGTTGTCTGATGAAGGTGACACATAAATTCCAATTTAAAATTGAGTTGATACGTGTTTGATTTTGTTTTTGTGGAATACGAGTTAACTCCGAAATTTATATAATTTTTAATAACAGGTTGAAATAACAAACATTTGTGTGTCATAATTTCATCAGTAAACTTTTTGCATAGGACGTTGGAATGCCTATTTAGATAGTTAATCTTAGCTTATGCCTTAACACGTTAACTGCCGCACTAGGACATAAAAATTAAATCATCCCCTTGAATTATATTTTATTCACTCGGAAGCAAATAAAAGCTTCAAGGCTACGTAAATTATATTCTTTTATAGTTTTGGTAAATCCACAATTATACTCTTTTATGCCATGCTTCCCCAAAAGTGTTTTTTTTTATTAAGAGTGGTAACAAAATCTTCAAAAGACATTATACTAAAAAACTTCCACTCTTTTTCACTGGAATGTCTCCTTGGAATCACCAGTCGGCATAACTTCGAAGAGACGTGATGTAAGGATGGTCGCGGGTACTTATCAACAAGTTGTTAGGGTATGCTCATATATTCCTTCTTCTAAAATCTCTCTCCTTTTGGCCCAGTATCTTTTATCTATATTGCCATTGCTCTATGTTACTGGTCATGACGTCTAAAATGTTTTATTTAGAGAGCCTAATTCCAATACGTTACGTTCTTCTAATTCTAGCCTGATCTCTCTCCATTATCCGCATTGAAACAGAATATGCTCTACTCTGCTCTACTGTATCCACATTCGGATAGTACATGCAATCTTGTTGCTCAGTCCCATCTAATCTATTCAGGTATTCCATAAACCAGCCGAGACCAGTTAGCCATTGAGTAATATGAAATGTGATGTTTCCTAGTTTTCGTTTATTCCATTTTTCAATATTCCACATATATACACATGTTTCCTATTTTATTTGCCACGTTTCTCAAGTTTTTATTCTAGCTTCTTTCTTTTCAGCTATGCTCTTACCTTGAACTTTACATCTTTCTTCAATCAGCAAGTCTGTGGGTATAGTTCCGGAGGTAACGAGGCTGCTTTCCATAGATATTGTTTTATATCCTTAGCAGATTCTGATGGCCATCGTTCTTTGTAATTGTGCTAGCTTTTTTCGGTTCATTTTTTGGGATTGAATGAACTGCTGTTCCCAAAAGTCTTCTCTTGGTTTCCGTAGCTCCCCTTTATTAGACATTAGTCTTATTAACGAGACCATAACCTTCTTTGCTTTGGCCACTACGTTCTCTAAGTGTTTCTTATATGAAAAGCAAGCTTCTATCTAATGTAACTCCCAGGTACTTTATACTATTTTTTGGTATAATAGGGACTTCTTTAATTGTAAACGTAATTGGTCTGCTTAGTTTTTCCTACCAATTCGTAACACCGCCTCTGTTTTTGCCGGTGCTAGTTTGAGATCATTTAGTTTTATCCACTCGCTGATTTGTTCCAGAATAGTGTTAACCGAAATTATGAGGCCTTCCTCCGTTTTGTCTGTGACTATGTGCCTAAGTCGTCTTCGTAGGCAATGAGATTATTATTAGGCGTTGTCTCTATACGTAATAGGATATTGCACAGTAGTTGACTCAAGATAGATCCCCAAGGAACTCAAGCTACTATCATATACTCTTCACCATTATCATCTATGATATTTGACGCCTTCTTAGTTGTCTGAGTATAATGTTCCATGAAGCTATATTAAACGCATTTTTGATGTCCAGAGTTAGTACAGCACACAGGCATTTTATATCTTTGAGTTTTTTTCATTTCCCTTTTTGCAACCTCTACGACTTCCTTGCCTGCATGCACAGTAGACACGCCGTTTCTGAATCCGTGTTGCCTTTCGCACAAATCCCCTTTTTGCTTAAGTTCGTCATTTAATCTTGCTGCGATTATTTGTTCCATTAATTTCCCTATTGAATCAAGTAGGCATACGGGTCAATAAGAAGACGGTTGTATTTCTTTCTTTTCGGGTTTCTTAAAGAGAACCAATTTTCCAACTTTCCATTGCCTTGGGAAAACGCCACTTTTTATAATTCCATCAGCCATTTCTCGGATACATTCTGGGAGTTCGTTAACAGTTAATTTAACTATTTCGGATGGTATCCCGTCGGGCCCTGGTTTACGATTTTTGAACATCTTGGCAGCCGTTTCCAATTCTTTCATAGTCACATCCGGGATATCTTCGTCCTCCTCTTGTTCAGGTATCCACACCTTTAATCCTTGCTTAGGAAATAGGGTATTGATAATTTACTTTTTAAATTTTGGTGGTATATCCAACGGTCTTTATTTTAGTTCCCCATTACTATTTAGTATGCCTTTCCCCAAGGATCTTCTTCTACTGCTTCGCAGAGTTTCTCCCAGGCGTTCTTTTTGCTTTCTATTATCAAGCTTTTTAATTTCTTCCTCACATTCTTTAAGTTGGCTTCTATTTCTTCCATCTTTGCTTGACTTACGATATGTCTGTTAACCTTTAATTTTTGTTTCTCAATTTGTTGCATAATGCTTGTTGTTCAGCAATTTCTCCTGTCCTGCTGTTCTCTCCGAATTCTCTTATGCAATGATCCATCCCAAACTTTTTTTAATTTCCCTATGATGTCGGTTGGGCTAAATAATTTTCCCATTAATCTAGTACTGCCTGTCAGTACTTAAGCATGTATTGTTCGCCATAGTGACGCATTAATTAAACTCCATACAATTTCAAAAAAAGCGAAAGCTAGTAAATAAATAAATAATATTTGTTTTATTTATTTGATTCTATTGTTTAATTCTTATACAGAAAATAGAGATCACATATAATAGCTGATCTCCACTAACTTTTATGCATACTGTATTAATGCCATTGTTTTCTTCTCTTTGTAGACCTGATGATGGTCCAAATCCGAAACTGGTCATCATATTTAAAAAAAAATATGTTTTACGTGGCATTAATTTTTTGTTACTTTGATACTATCACCTTGTATATTTACAAGGATCGTGAACTGGAACAAAATTGTTACTTTAATTCCCTTAGGGCTATATACAGGGTGGCTCACGCTGAACGGGACGAAGCTTTATGGGAAAACGACCAAAGATATAAAAAATTCGTTTGGGAGGAATACGTAGGTTACAGACGGCTACAATTTAAAATTTGTTAGATGTATACAGGATGTCCCACATAAGAAAAAAAAATTAGTTCATTAAAAATTATTCAAACAAGAGTAAACAATTAATTTCTGGGAGACTTTTTTTCCTTAAAAATTCAAATAAATCGAAAACTAATAATAATAGTAATAGGGAACCTTTAGTTAACTGACATTATTTTTGATGTAGTTTTTAATTCTAAAATAAAAAACAGGGTGTTCCATTAAAAATAATATAACTTTGTATATTTTCTCTTATGTGGGACATCCTGTATACATCTAACAAATTTTAAATTGTAGCCGTCTGTAACCTACGTATTCCTCCCAAACGAATTTTTTATATCTTTGGTCGTTTTCCCATAAAGCTCCGTCCCGTTGAGCGTGAGCCACCCTGTATAGGTACTACAGCTCTTTTAAATCATCTATATCATCTATATGAAAATAATGATAATAAGAATAATAGTTAAATAATACATATATCGATACGATGAGGTATTAAAAGATTTAGTTTTTTACCATTTTTGATTGCAATCCACAGTGGGCAACTATATCTAACCATCAGTACCAATTAGTATTGATTTAGCTTATGAATCCATTGTCCAAGCAATTAAACCTTACAAAATTAAGAAAATTTGGGAAGAGTAAATTAAATATTATTTAAAGGAAACAATTAGATATAAAATCGAACCAAAAACAATATTGATTTTCTTTATGACAATGTATCTTTGCATCAAAATTTAAAAAAAATATCTAGTTCATTCACACGTGTTGAATATATAATACCAGGAATTTGTGTTAGACAAACATTGTGTAGGATATCATTTCAAAATTTGTATTCTAATTTGGCTAAATACATTTTTTTTTTGTTAAATAAAGCACTGTAAGTATATTTTTAGGTATAAATGCAAAAAGATAAATATTGATTCATTAAAAAATTTTAATCTTTTTATTTTTTTACATTTAAAACTACAACCTTACATATTCATAAGTATCTTCTTGTAAAAACATAGTAGTACGAATTGATTTTATTTATACCTAAAAATAACAAAAAAAATTATATTAATTTTGTTATATTGTGACTAAGAAATATAATAATTGTTGGTACAAATCAACTTCTATATTTTTTGGTTTTATTTATTTGTTTATTTATTTC